TTGATGATTTTCCTGCACCTTTTTAGCCACATGCCATTATTGATCGCATTTGAAATGAATGCATATCATAGGACACTTATTTGATTATATATTCTTCTTATACTATGTCTTGTTTGTTTGTTTGTTTCTTTCTTTTAGTGTGGATCAAATAACCATCCCATCAAAACGTGCAGGTCAGCCACCATTGAGACGTATTCCAGAGGTTTTTGATTGCTGGTTTGAAAGTGGAAGGTGAGTCTCTCGTTGAGTACAGTAAAATCTGTTACCTGTCTAAACCTGTCATTGCATAAAACCAAATCCTATATACCGGTAACTATTTTCAGCTTTCAATTATTGGAGGTGTATTCAGTTTCAGGTTCTGATGTTTTTAAGTTCTTTGTTCATAATGTCAGGTATTGAGTGGGAAATACTGTTAATGCATTAATTATTCACTGGCTTTTAACTTCGCTATTTTCGCTGATAAGTAAAATCCGCTAAATGAACATGTAAACTAAAAAATTAAAATTAAAACTTAGGGGCAATGCTGACCTTCACAAATGTTATGTGATATGCACACAGGTCATGTGATATGCACACAGGTCATGTGATTCCTCAGCTCCTGAGAGCGAGGTTATTTGTAAATATGTTGGCGATCGCCACTGTGTCTGCGGAAGTACTACGGGAGATTGCATGATGGGAGTGAAAAGTCTTTGGATCTGTAAAATAATTTTAGAAAAGTGAAAACTAAAGTGACTGTGAAATAAAGGTTGGTTTTAAATATTAAATATCATGAAATTTGGATGTAATAATTAAAGGAAATTAAACTGATATGAAAGGGCAGTAAATTTAGCCGGGATGCAAGGTCAGAATCCGGGGTCAAAATACATCCATCAAGGCGGTTGCAAAGTGTCAACAACTGGAAAGGTGAAAGACTTCGTTTGCAGCTTGTGTGAATGGCCGGGGAGAAAAAATCATGGAAATTCTGTGCTTCAGTAACAATATTTGCTACTTGTTTGTGCAATGGAAATTAATTCTGCCAAAAGACATGTCCTTCTAGTAAACAAAACAACCTTGGGACGTTTATCTTGAGAAATTGAGAAGACGAAAATCCCTTGGGACAGTCGATGTGAGACAATAGACATGCTTCGTCAGGGTATCAAGGTTATTTTGATTATTTGAAGATCGAAACTGCTGATTTACGGAAGAGCAAAGTTCAATGTCATTGGCACAGGAATGCCGTGTTTAGAGGGGTGACTTGCTAGAAGTATTCGCCGTGACTCCTTACTTTTCATTCGGGTTTATGCAACACTTACTTGTTACTATCAAGAAGGTTTTAATATCTTGTTTGTATTTGCACAATGTGAATGAGGGGTTTATTGTCAAAATATATACAGGTGCTTGTATGCCTATTGAAACTATACAAAATACGACGAATGCACATCCGTTTCATGTGTTAAAAGAACATTGTGATGTTCTCATGGAATTGTTAAATTTTGGTATCATTCCCAACTGTCACCCAACTGTACGTTTTGACGACTTGTATCCTCTTCTGGGACTTGTGATAATTTTCTGGAAACTGTACAGCAAATCACATATTTTCTTATTAATTGTTTTTCTAAATTTCAGTTTCTATTGTTCTTAATTATTTACAGTAATAACATATTTTTCCGATTGTGTGCATGACAGTTTTGCCCACACACAATAAGACAAGATGATATGTACAGATATGTGCGAGTATGTTTCATGGATTAATAGGCCACTCTTTTGCTTCAATTCCAACTACATCTCTGGAAATATCACTTGCTGTTTATCATCCATATTTTGATATCCCACAATGTGTCGATTGCGTATCTGGAAATTCTAACTACTATTTTGCAAAATTTGACCAGCCTTGCTTCTACCAGTCA